GTGGAGAAGGATTTTTCAGTCCATAAACACAGTTATGAGAAAGGTGCTTTTAAAATTTAATGATAAAACAGGACACTCCAGCATCCTCTTAACATTAGGTGAACAACAAGGAGGCACTCGGATGATGTTTCCGAAAGCAGCCTAAATATTTTAATATTAAAACTTAAGTTAGTGAATACAATATCACAGGTTAAATTTAACAATTTGATTTGTAATATATATATATATATTGATCTGAAACATTTACAAATTTCTGAATCTGTCCAAATACAAATTTTGTTATCTCTTAATGAAAATGCCAACATCCTCATTCAAGTACAACTCGAATCCAAGATATAGCGTGCCATTTTAAGAAACACGCGTTATGCCAAATTGTATGCTCAACTGATGACCATTCATTTGGAAGAGATTCTTGTATCATAACCACGTGATCGTTTTTTTTTGTCGTGAAAGGGGCGAAAGAGAGAGTGCGAGTCAGCGTGAATGCGTGACCGCGCGATCATATTGTGCGAAAAGACAGGACAAGACTATTAGCCTATTGGCAAACGACGCGCCGTGTGCCCTGGAACGTCGTACCATGAGACTAAAAAAATCGATATCATAATTATGTGTCGTTTGATATAAACGAGTAACGAGTAAATAGTATGTATCATCGTTTTATACACAACCTAATTAAATATCTCTACGTACACTATGTACATTCCTAGTATACACGCTCTTCACTGTCATACACGTTGCATTACACGCGCATAAAGGAGAAGAAAACGCATGGACCTATTATATACATATAAATATACATATAAATATATATATTTATAATAATTATTATAGCTATTCCAAAAACGGACCACCGCGACATCGACGTTTACGGATGATCATTAAATTAATGCAAGAGAAATTCATCAATAACACTCACGCGCGCATTAATCGCCATCGTTATCGTCATTGTCATCACCATTATTATCATCATTATCATTATCATCATCGGTGATAACGTCACATCAAAGCATTCGCGTATTTCGCAATGAATAACGCCCGGTTACGGAGTGTCTCATGTATAACACTCACGAATAGTCAAACCTGTCGATCTGCCTGCAGTGTAAAAAAAAAAATGAACGTTTTTAACAAACACGTGCATACACTTGAGCGCAATAGAGAAAGAGAGAGATAGAGAAAGAGAGAACAAATATATAGTTTTACAAAAAGGCTTCGCCGGCCGCATCCTTTAGTTTTATACTTGAGACACAGAAAAGGCTGAAGAATCAGCCGACGATACTTCGAACGACCTTGATCCTATGTAAAGTTACATTCACCGATGAACGCGATCATTGTATACATACTTACATACTTACATACATACATACATACATACATACATACATACATACATACATACATACATACATACATACATACATACATACATACATACATACATACATACATACATACATACATACATACATACATACATACATACATACATACATACATACATACATACATACATACATACATACATACATACATACATACATACATACATACATACATACATACATACATACATACATACATACATACATACATACATACATACGCACATTCATATACGTACACACATACATACATTCGCAAAGACGAATAACATACACGCGTTTTCTCAAGCTCATTTATCTCTTGAGACTTTGTACCAATTCTCTCTTCACTTAGTCCGACATTTCGAAACTGGAGAGCGCGACAGCGGATACATGCGAATTATGTGCGAGGAGGCATTTCGATGTCGCGCTCTTAAAATGTGAAATGTCAGTCTCTTAGCCAAAGCTAGAATTTGCGTTTTTATCTCTTATTGTTAGTACCTTCTCTCCTCTATCCCTCCTTTATCCTTTTTCCTCTTTTTCCTCGTCCCCCTCCCCACACGACGTATATATTTGACACATTTCATGATTACTATTAATTT